CACACACACACACACACACACACACACACACACACACACACACACACACACACACACACACACACACACACACACACACACACACACACACACACACACCCTCCCCCCCCATGTACATGGAGGTTGTTACTGCTTGCAAAGTGGGTTATGTTTGGTTTGTGACTGGTCTGTGCATTTCATAACTTTTATTTCTCTTTTATGCTTAAATGTAATTCTTTGAGTAATGAGTTCTTAAATACCTAACCTGTCTGGAGTAATTAACCATGTGATAATTGTGATCCTGAAGGAGGTTGGCATGTCTATGCATCCCCTGAGAAAATCAGAGCAGGGGATCTCCAGAAGCCTGTAGCTGAGGGGTAGCACATGGAGCCACTGCTATACAGGTCAGCAGGAGTGGGCAGCTGTACAGGAGTGGGCAGCTGTCTGGCCACTCCCAGGGTGGGTAGAGGGTGTGGGCGGAACTTGAACCCACCAACCTGCACTTCCCAGGTAAATGCTCTATTCTCCAGGCCACTTCAGAACCCAACCCACCTTCCTACCTTCAGGATGTCCTCTCCCAGGCTCCGAACTCCTTGTCCTAGGACCAGAGCCTGCACCCCAGCCCCCTACCCCAGCCTGGTGAAAGCGAATGCGATTCAGGGAGGAAGAGGGATGGCGTGAGCAGGGTGAGGCCTCAGAGAAGGGGCGGAGCAGGGCAGTACCTCAGAGAAGGGGGGAAGGAAGCCGAGTAAGGGTATTTGGGTTTGAGGTAGATCTTACATTGCACTTAAATTGGAAAAAGTGATCTTGTGGTTAAAAAGGTTGGAGTCCAATGGTCTAGACCATCCCTGATAGATGTCTATCTAACCTGCTCTTAAATATCTCCACAGATGGAGATTCCACAACCGCCCTAGGCAACTTATGCCAGTGTTTAACCACCCTAAAAGGAAGTTTTTCCTAATATCCAACCTCAAGTTCCCTTCCTGCAGTTTAAGCCCATTGCTTCTTGTCCTATCCTCGGCGCCAAGGAGAACAATTGGTTTCTTTCCTCCTAGTGACACCCTTTTAGATACCTAAAAACAGCTATCATGTTCCCTTTCGGTCTTCTCTTTTCCAAACTAAATAAGCCCAATTCTTTCAACCTTCCTTCATAGGTCATGTTCTCTAGACCTTTAATCATTCGTGTTGCTCTTCTATGGACCTTCTCCAATTTCTCCACTTCCTTTTTGAAATGTGGTGCCCAGAACTAGACATAATACTCCAATTGAGGTCTAATCAGCACAGAGTAGAGTGGAAGAATGACTTCTCATTTCTTGCTCTCAACAATTCTGTTAATGCAGCCAAGAATCATGTTTGCTTTTTTACAGCAGTGTCACACTGTTGATTCATATTTAGCCGTTGGTCCACTATGACCCCTAGATGCCTTTCTGCTGTACGCTTTCCTAGACAGTCGCTTCCCATTCTGTATGTGTAAAAAGGATTGTTCCTTCCTAAGTGGAGTACTTTGCATTTGTCCTTATTAAACTTCATCCTATTTATCTCAGATCATTTCTCCAATTTGTCCAGATCTTTTTGAATTATGATCCTATCGTCCAAAGCAGTTGCAACCCCTCCCACCTTGGTATCATCTGCAAACTTAAGTGTACTCTCTATGCCATTATCTAATTCATTGATTAAGATATTGAAGAGAACCACTCCCAATGTGGAAACAGTCCAAGTGTGGTCCCAGTGCTGAAACCACTTGTTATACCCTTCCAGCAGGATTGTGAACCATTAATAACTACTCTCTGAGAACAGTTAGCCAGCCAGTTATGCACCCATCTTATAGTAGCCCCATCTAAGTTGTAATTGCCTAATTTATTGATAAGATCATGCCACACTATCTCGAACCTTACCAAAGTCTAGGTATACCACATCCACCGCTTCTCCCTTATCCACAAGACTCGTTATCTTATCAAAGAAAGCTATCAGATTAGTTTGAGAGGATTTGTTCAAATCCATGCTGGCTGTTACCTATCACCCTATTATCTTCCAGATGTTTGCAGATGAATTCCTTAATTACTCCATTATCTTCCCTTCTCCTGACACAGAAGTTAAACTGACTGTCTGAATTTTCCTTGGTTGTTCGTATTTCCCTTTTTATAAATGTGCACTAGATTTGCCCTTTTCCAGGCTTCTGGAATCTATCCTGTCTTCCATGATTTTTCAAAAATGATAGTTAAAGTCTCCTCTATCAGCTTCTTGAGTATTCTAAGGTGCATTTAATCAGGCCCTGGTGGCTTGCAGACATCTAACTTTTCTAAGTGATTTTTACCTTGTTCTCTTTTTATTTTATCTTTTAAACCTACCCCAAGTATTGGCAGGTTGCAGTATGAAACTTGGGGAGCACAACTTCCTCCAGCAGGAGGCTGTTACCCTCTCTCAGAACTGGACCTTTTTACCTTTAGCTGTGGCGTATTTTATTGCCAGGAATAGGATAAGATTCAAGAACTGGACTCCTTCTCAAGCAGTTTCTTTTATTGTATAGTAAATATGCCACACTACTATCACTCTTGTCTTAATGTGTGAGAATATCAGAGGCATAACTAGGGTCTCCTGCTGGAAAAAAACCTTCAGGCGGCAGGCTACCATGCTTGCTGAAGTTCTTAAAACAGCCCTCCTTCCTCTGAGGTAAGGAAGGAAATTAGGATGCTCAGATACTTACAAAGTAACACATGAAGACCTGGAACTAAATTTCACTTAAAAGTTCCAAGATGGGTAGAAAGTAAGGGGCTATCACAAGCAGAAACCACAAATGGCCATGCTACCTCACTTCTGTGTTGAGAAACCAACTCAGCCAAAACTCTTAACATTGGCCTGACCTCTCCCTGCTGGGGGTGGGGGAGGGTTCAGGCCAATTTTAGAGTTCTGGCTGATTTAGAACAAACTCACTGCTCTGGTATCCCCATGTGAACCAAAGTTTATCAAATGCATTCTGCTTCAGAAGAGAGAAAACTAAATGGTTACCTCCAGTTCCCGGAACTTCAGTTCTTCCATTTGCTGCAGTAACACCTCAGCTCGTTTCTTTTCTTCCAGACGCCTCTTTTCTTTCTCCTGTTTCATTCTCTCCAGCGCTTCCCTTCGGGCAATTTCATATTCATTTTCATACCGCCTTTTTTCTTCTTTTTCAGTTGCTTCTTGCTGATTGAGCCCAAGCAAAATATTTAATGTAATAACTATAACTCAGGACCAAATCCCCTGTATTTCATCTAACAGGGTGTTTTACTAATATTCTAATATTTAAGCTTATCAGTCATTTAGTCATTTAATATTTAGGCTTATCAGTCATTTGAGTAAAAAGAACCTAGTTTTCAAACAAACATTCACAGCACCCAGTACTCCCCTGGATTCCAACTGGAAATGTAGCCATTCAACATGGCTAAGGTTCTAAGGTTTACACACCTCTAGATGTGTGTAATGCAGCCCTCTTTATCTGAAATAATGTTGAATAATCTGTGCGATGCTGACAGACTAAGTGCTAGCTCATGTCTAGGTGTCAGTGAACACCAACAAATATATATAGCTGGAAACCAGCCTGGCACACTTGTATGTTATTCTTGTTAATACAGACATTAGGGTTATAAGAATGTGCTTAGACTATGAAATGTGGGATGCTGCATTTATTCAGATTACATCTGTGTTTGCTCTACAATGGTTAAACACCCGCAATCTGAGAGAAGCATTACCAAATGTGAAATACTAATGTGCCACAAGATGCATCATCTCCTGCCCAACAAAAGACCTACACATGCCTGACAAACCACTGGACATCAATGGACAAAAGATTTGTTGATTGCTCCCCCACACCCATAAAGAGGAGCAACTGCTTGAACTGTGGAGGAAGGGAGTAAAAATCTGTCAAGAAGCAACAGTTATTCATATGCTGCTCAGACTCGGGAAAGGGGACAAGACTTCTAAGCACCAGCAAGAGAGCCTCAGCTATTTAGCTGGACCTGTCCTAGAGGGCATCTAGAGCAGTGGTCCCCAACGTGGTGCCTGCGGGTGCCCCATATCTACGCGCCCGCCGAGTGAATGGTGCCGGCTGGCCCCCTGGGCGCACGGCATATGGGCAGCATCAGCTCCTGGCACGCAGCACATGGGTGGCCCTGCCCCTGGGTGTGCAGCGTTTGGGTGGCCCTGCTCCTGGGTGCGTGGCTCAAGGGCTGTGCCGGCCCTGGGCGCGCAGCACATGGGTGGTGGTGGCCCTGCCCCCAGGCGTGCGGCACATGGGCTGTTCTGGTCCCAGCACATGGCATATGGGCAGCCGCACCCCTGAGCGCGCAACACAGGAGCAGCGCCGACGCCGGCCCCGGGAATGCGGCGCATGGGTGGTGCCAGCACCGGGCGCACGCCATATGGGCGGCCCTGCCCAGCCCCAGGCATGCAGCATATGGGAGGTGGCAGCCCCGTCCCCAGACATGTGGCACATGGGCTGTTTCGGCCCCAGCGTATGGGCAGCCCCACCCCTGGGTGCACAGCACAGGAGTGGAGCCAGCCCCGGCCCTGGCCCCGGCCCTGGCCCCGGCCTGGGCCCCCGCCTGGGCCCCG